TAGGACCTAGAAATGGCCTAGTGGGGTATCTTTGGTCATTGGGGGCATACTCACAGTAGGGAGATGAGGTTCTGACCCTCCCTTATTCCGTTTCTGCTGGCTTGTGAGGCGAGACATTTTGCTCTGTAATGTATGCTTGCGTAGGTGGAGGTACTGCCTCACAGCAGGGCTGAAACAGTGAGTCCAGCCCACCATGGGCTGAAAATCCTGGGACTCTGTGTCCAAACTAAGCTTTTCTTTACAGAAGTTGATTAACGCAGAATCTTCATTGTAGAAAAGAACATGAATGACCCTTTAATCACACTTGTGTGATGGTGTGAAGCTGGGAAACTTCACACCTTCAATACATACGCAAGTGTTTACCCCGGAAGCTCCTCTAGAGCCAAAGATAGGGCTTGCCGGTCACTGCTTCTTGACACCAGGCATTCCTAGAGGAAAACAACTAATTTTAAGAAGATTCATTTATTCTATTTTATCTGTATGGGTGTTTCGCTTGCATGAATGTCGGTGCTCCAAATACATACACACTTGATACCTGAGGAGGTCAGAAGAAAATTTCAAATAAAGGAATCAGAGTTATGACTGGGTGTGAGCCACCATTGGGTTGAGAAGCAAACCAAGGACCTCTGAGAGAGCAGCCAGTGCTCTCAACTGCTGAGTCATCTATCCAGCCCCAATAGGAAGGGTTTGCTGATGTGAATTTTTCCAGCATTTTGGGGAGCTATTAGAATGCTGCATGCTCTCCCCCACAGTAGAGTTCATTGTCTGTCCTACCAGAGGAGGAAGCCCCATCCTTTGTATGTTGAGGGGAATATGAGAGTATATTATCACCCTGAGTATCAGGGCTGCTTGCACAGGGATTTAATGGTCTGCCTGTTGGTTGTACTGTCCCTTGAAGTAGCATTAGGAGAGAGATATATATATGGTTGCTAAAATAACATGCTCCGAATTCAACATGCACAGAAATTCAACAGTGGACACCAGGCTCCATTTTCCCATGGACTCCGTGACCTCTCTTAGCAATTGTTTCAATTGTTGCTCTCATAGCCTGTTTGCAGGCCTCCACTCTTATTGGACTACATACATCATTAATGGAAAAGCAAATTAAATTCTTGGTCTGTATGGCTATCAAACCTAAAAGTAGGCTGGATGATGGCCTACCTCAGAAAAAACTGGGACAAAGCAATCACTTGACAACATCTGGAGATGTTCCTTATAACATTTAGGCAAGAACATCGTAAGCAAGAGACAGTAACTCAGAGTCACAATGAATCATAATAAGTCAAGACATTAAGGCCAGCCGTTCTCTCATCTCCCCTCTCTCCTTGGCATTCCCTCTGTCTCCTTCAGCTCTTTGAGCACTTGAGTCTCTCCCTAGGTGATGTCACTACCTCAGTGATGTAAGCTGGTTGCGCATCCCCCGAGACTGGGCTGTTGACAAGGGGAATAAGTCTCCCTAGGCACAGAATTGGACGTTATCAGCTTAGCACAGGGCTATGCAGGCGAAGGAGTACAGTTTTATAATGTGCCTTTAGCTTCTGGGACTCCCATGAAGAGAGAGAATTTCTGTCCCTTCCTCTAGGATCTGGGACAATATCAGTGACTGGTGGCCTCTGTGGCCTTTGAGGGTAGGTGGAAATTTGACCTTGTGTAGGTGTGTGCATGTGTGTGTGGCAACCAGAAGAGAACCTCTGGTGTTGTTCCTCAGGTGCTGACCACCTGAGGGGGACAAGGCACCACAGTAGCCAGGGACCTAAGTAAGTTAGGTTGGCTGGTCAGTCAGTCCTAGGGATCTGTCTGTCTCTTCCAGAGCTAGGGCTATTAACATATAGAGCTTTATTTTATGGGGTGTCTAGGGCTTGAACTAAGGCCCCCATTCTTGCAATGTATCAGTTGAGCAACAATCCTACGATGATTTAATCTTAATTACCTATGGAGGTATGACATCTGAGACAACCACGCTGTGAGGAAATTCTGCCCACATAAAAGGTCTCTTTTTGTTACTCCGGCCCACTCAGGTTCCACGTGAGCAAAGCCTTCTGATGACAGGTGACCGGACACTGCTGGGCAACTGGAATACCAGACGCTTCTTTTTCACAGTTCTGGAGTCTATGGAGTCCATGAGGAAGCGGGTAAATAACCTGGTTCTCTGTCAAGGCTCTCGCGCCGTGCAGACCCCTGCTTCCTTCCGTGTCTCACAGGACCAGGAGAGAATGGTCTCTTTCTGTCTCCCCCATTTCTTAAAAATCTGCTGACCCCGCCACTCCCTCGTGATCCACCTTCATGACGTCCTCTTAGCCAGGATAAGCTTCAGTACAAATATAGTCAACATATGAACCGGGGGTGGGGGGGTGCCCTTTGCAACACAATCCCATCCATCAAATTCTCTCAACTCCTCAATACTTCAACCATAGGTCCTAGATGTATTGGAGCCCTGACATTAAAAAAAAAAATCACTGTTCCATTCTTTTTCCAAACTCCAAGCCCACAGAGTTTATAAGCATAATGAAATGGCTGCTTTAATCTGTACTCCCTTAAGTTAATTTGTTATGACCTAATGGACACTCAGGACAGGTTGTGTTCTTCTGCATGGTGGGGGGTGATGGTGGCTGATGTCCCGGCTTTTGAAAAGGTGCTGGCAGGGTATTACAGGGAGAGAACAGAAGAAGAACAGAGGAGGATGAGGGGGTCAAGCTCCATCATGTGCTGGAAAAGACAAGGGCTGGCGACTTCTTCACAGCCTCCATACACTGGCCTCTACTAAAGATATAGGCTACTGTGAGTACTCATCTAGGCCATACACAGGAAGGATGGAGGGGAGTGAAGGGAGTCAGAGTCTATACTGAGGGACAGCACAGATTCCTCTGAAAGACAAAGGGCTTTCACTATGCATAACACCAAGGCAAGGCTCATGGGTTGGACACTGCAATGAAATGTAGTAAAAGTCATTCTTAATGTAGGAAAGCCAGCCCAGAAAGTAAAGGAGTAACATCCGCTCACTACCCCAGTGCTAGTGAGGTGGAAACAGGACGGTCCCCCGGGGCCCGCTGGCCAGCTAGTCTAGCCTAAGTGGTCTTCAGGCTATGGAGAAATTCTTTCTTAAAGGAGAGCCATAGTGTTCCCGAGAGTGATAATCAAGACTTTTCTTTGGTGTTCACCAATGTGAACACTAATGTACGCGCACACTTTCACACACACATGCATACGCACATGCACGCACACTCACACCTGGACACACATGAACATGCCTCCATATACACATTCATTCTCACTAGGGGATAATGACAGTAGGCCACAGGTTAAGAAGGACCAGTCAGGATCAAGAGAGGAGCGTGGGACACAAACAGCTGCTGCTCAGAGCGGATAGTGTCACTCAGCTAAAACCGCCCAGTGTCCTCCACTAGGAGAAACCTTTGGTTGAACGGAGGTTCTTCTCTAGCCTGAGTTTTCGCTAGATAAAATCCTGAGTAAGACCGTGTAAGGTCTAAGCCTTCAATCACAATTTAGTATGAAACATGAGCCGGAGGAAATGCATCAAGAAAAGACTTTGGAGAGGAGGGAGAGCAGAGGCGTCGGAGAAGGTCCAGATGCACGAGCAAGCTCCTCAAGAGCTGAGCAGTTTGTGTCCAAAGCCAGAGGAAGCCAGACTTAGAGGTTGTCTAATGCCATCCTTAATTCTTTTTATTCTTCATTATTTCACTATAATTATTTATTTATCTATGTGTGTGTGTGTGTGTGTGTGTGTGTGTGTGTGTGTGTGTGTGTGACCTATGGAGGTCAGAGGACAATGGGAAGGAGTTAGTTCTCTCTTTCAGCCTTGGAGATTGAACTCAGGTCATCCGACTTGGTGGCACGTTCCTTCACCTGCTGGTGATCTCATGGGCCCCTTTTCCCTTTCAGAGATTTCTTCTAGTGCAGCCTGTTTGGTACCTAAGCCGTATTTGTATTACATGATGACCAGACTCCATGCAAACAACTCATGTTGTCCTTTTGAGAATTAATCTGGGTACACTGACGTGGGAAGATAAGAAGCTTAAGAGGGTAGGAAATGAGGAAGGCTCATGTGTGACACCACCCTAGATTTTTCCAGTGGACAGCATGGATGGGTGAGAGGAGAGGAACTGTGACCTTCTGCCCTCGTGGAGGTGGGTGGCGTGGCTGCTTGCTTCCTTGCCTTTCAGCGACTGCCCATACCTTCACGAGTCCTTGTTGATAGCCCACGAAATGTCTTAGGATCTTGAAACAAAGCACCTTTTCAAGTCTAATAGGCTTATAATATGAAACCCAATGAGGCTTGATTAAAACAATAGTTATGAGAGACCTAGACCAGCTCTTACTGGCTAATTTATAGATTGTTTTTATCCATGCTAATGTCATCTTTACAACATTTCAGGACATGGCAATCACTGTGAAGCCCGAGTAAGCAGCACGAGCCCAGCTGTTCTGTAACACAAACATCTGGAGTATTGGGTTTTCACACTTTCATAGGGATAGAGAGTTTGTGGGGGGGGGGCAAAAAGGGGGAGTTAGTTTTGACTGACACAGACTGTAAAAGTCAAAGCAGACATACTTGTAGGCTAAGGGACGATGGTCACGGCACAGGCTTTCCACAGACAGAACCTGTCCCTGTGTTTCCCCCTCTGTGAAACTTCAGATGATGACTCTCGTCAAAGAGCGGTAGTGGCTAGCTCCTGCCAAATGTTTGGTAAGCAGTGTTCTTTCATTGTCACTGAGTGTTCTTCAGAAGAGGCACTGGCTCTTGAGAACCTTTGCCTTCATTTCCTGACTGCCCAGTTCCAAGAAGACTCATTTACCCTTGATCTCCAGGTTACAGGTGACGCTCCCACCACCTCAGCATCCCCTTGCACCTGTAGAGCTGCTGGTCAGGTAACTATAGTAACCGGGCCATTTACATCATCTGTCAGTCCTCCATGGTTTCCCCAGCCCATAAGCTGCTACAACCCCCCTCCTTTCTGTCTACCCAAAGAATGCCCATAGAGTTTTGATTTTGAAATGATTTTAATATTGATTCTAGGAAAAGTAGATACAATAAGAAACGTGAGCCAAAGGGTGTGGCATGTTGGGAGGTGCAGAAGCTGAGCCTGCAGATGCCACACGTATGAAGCAGGATGGCCTGTGACTTGTGTAGAACATTTCTTTGGGCATGACAAATGTTGTATAAGTGGCATTTTCCTCTCGTTTGGACATGATGCCCCTAAGGACTGAAGCAAACTGGGAAGACTTTGGTGTCCTGCCCACAGTCTCCTCTTCTCCTAATTTCCAGTTCCTTCTCTTCTCTTTTCTTTCCCTCTTCACTCTACTTTTCCCTTTTTCCTTCCTCCCTTCCTGCTCACTATTATTTATAATTGCTTTTCCTTGCTGTTTTAGATTTTTCTCACTTTATTTTTTTTCCTGCAAATCTCTCATTCCCTCTTTTTTCTTTTAACATCCAACATGTCATTGTTCTGTGTAATAACTAAACAAAGACAGAAATCACATACACGCCTCTGTATGAGTACTCTTATATCTCCGTAGGAAGACTGAGAAGTCCCAGGAAGGACTGGGAAAACAGAACCACAGTGAGGGCCTTGGGAGTCTCACTGGGCCTGGCCTTGTCTTGATGTTTTCCATTCTTCAGTTCGGAGCTTCGCTCGATTGATTTTCCCTGTGATGGTCTTGGGCAGGTTCGAGACAAACGCCACCTGGTGTGAGAAATCAGATCAGCGTGGGTTGACCACAGTGGCATTAGATTTTTTTTTTTTGAGGAGCTGCTGTAAGCACCAGCTTTTAAGTCTGGAGGGTCTAGATACATAAGGGGGGAGTATGGAGATGTTCTAACGTCAGCTCTGTCTGTAAGAAGCCTCAGAAGGTCTCTAGACACCAGGGCAGGAAGAAGATGGCTAACCCAGAGCAGGGAGGACAAGAGCACTGGATTTTATATGCAATCTTGACGAGAGAAGCAGTAAAATGAACATGGCATAGTCCAGAGGCAGACAACTGAACTTCCTTACCAAACTCTGTAGGCTTCACTTCCTACTCAAGTCAACTTTAGAAGGTCCCTGGATGTTTCCAAGACTCAACTTAACTATTAAGTACACTAAGGGACAGTAATATCTTTAGGTTGTTGTGGAGATATTAAGAGGTTGTTCATGGAGTGGACACGCGTGAATAGCAGCTGTGGTCATTCATCCGAGCTAGAAGAGACATCTGAAATAGATATCTAACTGGGGACATGGTTTTAAATTTTGTCTCAGTTCTTATGTGTGATTGGCCAAGCTACACAGTCTCATTGATGTCAGCATTCTCTCATTTGAAGTGAAGGACCCACTCTGATATTCCCGAGCATTAAGCTGTAGATGTTAACAATTCATTGAGACTTTCACTTAAGTGACTCGGCTGGCTGTGGCATTAATCTGGGAATTGGTTGTTTGTAGAGCTAATAAAAGGTAGTCAGTGGGATTCTGGTAAAGAAAAACTATATTCTTGGCAGCTTCAGAGTGAATGCTTCCATAAGAATTGTTGAGAAAGGAATTTGCTCAAAGCACATTGGGATGGACCAGAGGCTGAAAAACCCGTGGGCAGAATACATAAGCATAGTCCCAGCCATTCAGTTAGTCCCTCTTCATCCACGGCTTGGTTTCAGTGGGCTTTAATTACCTGTGGTCAACTGCAACCTAAAACAGATGATGCATATTCAAGAAATAAATAATTTGTAAGTTTAAGTGAATTTTTAAAATTAGGTTGTTCTAATTGATTTATTTTATTACCTGTGTTGTTAATTTCTTATCATCTTTGAATTTTAAACTGTATTTGTCAGAGGTATTCATATATGATGATTAATCTTGTCAGCCTAATTTGATTGACAAGAGCCTAGGAGGTTAGCTAAGAGCATCTCATGGGGATGACTAGGGATGGGTTTCCAGAGATGATTGGACCATGATAGCTCTGTGTTAATGAACGCTTTAGTCCATTGATGATTTCACATCATCAATGTTATTGATATTTCACATCATCAGTGTTATTAGGAGGTGGTGAACCCTGGAAGCTGGGGTCTAGAAGGACGGAGAAGATCACAGTGAAGGACTGTCTCTGGGGTTATATATCGGCCTTGGCCCCTCTTGTGTTTGCTCTTTGCTGACTTTCTGTGTGAGGCGCAGCCTCTTCCTCCACAGGCTGACACTACCGTGTGTTCTGCCTCATGCTGGGCCTGGAATCAACAAAGCTGAAGACTAAGAATGGAAATCGCTGAAACCAACATAAGTTCTTCCTTGTATGAGGCGTTTTTCAGGCATTTTGGTCATAGTTTGAGAAAAGTAGCTGATACAGTATACATAGGGAAAGAAGCCCACAGTTTACAAGAAGTTTGTTATTACTGAACTGCCCAAAGTCATTCCATTTTGTTCTTGTTGAGCTAGCTCTACCCACCCGCTCCCAGCCCTTGCTGACTGCCCACTCCCAGCCCTTGCTGACCATACCCTGCCCAGCTGAACGTTTCCCTGCAGCTGCACTTGGAGGTCCATTCTCTTACAACTTAAAAAAAATCATTTTTTATCAATAATTAGACCTTTCGAAGTCCTGCTTGCCTCTGGCATGATGTGATTACTGTTTTTGGCTTTATAACCCCACCCTGTGGCAAAAGCCTGCTCTTGATCTCTGGCCAAGAAAGTCATGGTGGCCTGTAGCTTTCTCATTTGTGGTGATTTCTTATCCATTGGTCACCCTGTTTTAGAAGGGACAATGGTATTGTTTCTGAGTGATTTAGCATTTGAAGGGCAAAATGGAATAATTGCAGCGAAGACCAACTGTTCTAAAGGATTTGCCGTTTGGTACCCGGAACACATAAGGAGTGGAAGGGGGCCACAAGGAAGAGTTCAGTTTGATGCTAATAAGAAAGCTACCCTGTTTTACCGTGAATGAGGAATAGAGGATGTGGCTGGCAGGGAGGGCACTGCAGGGGAAAGAACCTGCTGCCTTAGGGACTCTAGAGGACAAGAACAGGGCCAGTACTTGAGTGACTCATTGTGTGTATGGTGTGACTGGGTCCCCTTTCTTGGTCTTACAAAATGTCCAGTAGCAATTCAAAATCCCTCACATATGGCATGACTGGATATCTTGCTTCTTCTTTAAAAATTAAAAATAAAGCCATTCATTTCTGTTATATGTGTATGGATGTTTTGCCTGCAAGTTGTCATTGTACCATGTGTATGCATTACCTGAAGAGGCCAGAAGAGGGCGATGGATTCCCTGAAACTAGAGTTACAGACAGTTCTAAGCTGCCTTGGGGATTTTGGGAACCCAGTAAAGATTCCCTGGAAGGGCAGCTAGTACTCGTTACTGCTGAGGCATCTCTCTAGCCCCATGTATCTTCTTTAAAACAACACTCATTAAACGTTTACTCTGTTCCAGCCACTCTTCAACATGTCCAATGCTTAAAGTCTTAACCGCTCCGCCCCCATATCTAGAGAGGACATCTAGTTCTCTATTAACTCAAACGAACCTTCAACAGATCAGAGTCCCACGCTAGTTCCCAGGCTGTTTCAGCAACATGGCAGACTCCCCCAGGTGCCTTTGTCTATTCTCTCTCTCTTATGTATATAAAAACTTACCAAGTTAATCAGGGAGCTGCCAGTTCGGTGGTTTCTTTAGCAATAAAGAAGCCCTTTACATACAGAAGGGAAAATCAACATCTTCCGACTTTATTTTACAGATGAGGAATCTCGGGATCAGAGAGGCTATTGGGCAATTAGCAGAAGTGGATTTTGACCCACAGTGTGACTCCTGAGACTGTGTCGTGTTGCCCCCTTTCGGTTTGAGAATGAAAGTCTGGTTGTGGGCTCTGATAACCCAGCTGCATCCCTTTGCAGGAATGGAGGACAGGACATAGCGCCCCACCAACATTTTTCTAGTACCTTTTTGAAGGATTGCTGTCTTGCTAGGGTCATGGCCCTTCCCGCAGCAGCGTGCATTCATGCCTTTTCTACATGGGGTTACAACGGCCCTTTCCAGCTCCTCATTCCAACTCAGCACATTTCTGAACTGACCTCTGAGCTTCTCATGGGGTGGTCCAGGTTCCAGCTGAGACCGAAACTCAGTGTGCTTTCACTATGCCCTTCTCCCCCCTTCCCATGCTTCCTTTTCCCAGAGGTACATATCCAACACTCTTAAAACCCTTGCATATGAGCATCTCTCCCTGGGGTCAGCTCTTAGAGTGCCCACCCATGACAATTAGCCTGTAGCAAGCCACTGGGCACAGAGGATACCTAAGAATTTAATTGGCTCTAAGCCTAATGTGGTTCCTCTCACGATCCATCCCAGGCTCAAAATATTTTTTCCCATTCTCTGGGACAAACTCCTATTTTGTGCAAAGCCAGCAACTGGGTTTGCTATGGTTTGGACATGAAGTATCTCCTAAAGAAGTTCATGTGTTGAAGGCTCAGACAGGGTTCAGAGGAGGAGCTGTGAGGGTGTGATTGGCTCATTGGCTTCCTCAGTGGATTAATTCACTGGTGAGTTCAGAACCTGGTGGCATCGTTGGGAGGTGATGGACTCTTTGGGGGAGGACATTCTGTCAAGGGTTATCTCATCCCGAGTCCCTTTCTCTGTTGGTCTGGTTCTGGACTGCCATGAGGCGAGCTGCTTCCCTCTCCCGTGCCTTCTCACCGTGGCATTCCTACCTCGCCACACGTTGAAAACGAATGGAGTCAGCTGACCAGGGATTGCAACTTCTGAAACCATAAACCAAAAGTACCTACTTCCTCCTTGAAGTGTTACTCGGGCTCTTTGTCTCAGGGATGAGAAGTCGAGCAGCCCCAGTCTCCCTGCCCTAGCAGTGCACTTGTCTCAGCGCCCAGAGTGAAAGTCCCTGACAGTCCTCTGTGGGCCCTTTGCTCTGACATTCCCATCTGCCGTCCCTTTATTCCGCCATTTCCAGAAGGAATATTTCCATTTTCCTAGGAGAACCCCCTATTCCTCACTTAGACCACATTTGGGGTGTAGGGAAGAACTCTCTTCCATCCTCCCTCTACTTCCTGCAAGGATGACCACATGGCTCAGAACTGACCAATCGGGATATCCCATTGTCCTGGTCCCATAGAGTGGTTTAATAATAGGTACCCAAATTAGTCCAGCAAGAAGCAACTCCAAGGGTTGGAGAGATGGCTCAGAGGTGAAGAGCACTGACTACTCTTCCGGAGGTCCTGAGTTCAATTCCCAGCAACCACATGGTGGCTCACAACCATCTGCAATGAGATCTGGTGCCCTCTTCTGACCTGCAGGCATACATAGAGGCTGAACACTGTGTATATAATAAATAAATAAATCTTTAAAAAAAGTGCAATTCCAAGACCTTTATTGGTCTTTGGGGGACATGCATGCTTTAGTTTTCCAAGCTGCTAAGACTGTATACTTGGAGAAGATGGCACCTCAGAGAAAGAGAGCATTTCAACAAATGAGGTCAATCCAGAAGGCGAGTGAAAAAATGAGATAGAAATCTCTGACCACATCGTCCATGTGCCTGGGACTCACCATGAAGAAGGTTATGCCCACTCACAGACTTGTCAATTATACAAGCAGCAAATTTTAAGTTCTATTTCTGTCATTGCAACGGAAAGCTATATAGTTCTGAACATTTTTTACAAAGCCTCACTATACAGAGTGAAACTTTCCCATGAAAGCATTTGGCTTTTAATTCAGGGTGAGTCGAAGGCTGTGGCCATTCTTCAGGCACTAAGATAGTGGTTGGGTGGTTTGGGGGAAAGTTTCTGGTCACTGCAAGAAAGACTTTTGAGTTAGAAGCCTTGCTCGCATGCCAAAGAAGAGATGTATAATAGGCGTTCTTCTGCAAGCACAGGGGACACGGCTGGTGAAGGCCTTACCTTCCTGGGGTACTTGTAGGGTGCCGTCACCGACTTCACATGCTGCTGCAGCAACTTGGTGAGCTGGTCTGGGTCATGGGACAGGAACTCAGGGGCAAGGACCACAAATGCCTTTACCACCTGCAGCAAGGATGGAACCCAAGTGGGATCAGAATACCTATTCATCTCTTGGGATGAAGCAAAATCAGTATCAAGATGGCCACCACTACCACAACTAAATGCCTGCATCCATTCAAACGTCTGGATCAAAGAAAGGGAAAATATTGGAAGTGGGTGAGAACAGCCAACGGGCCAACCGGTCCTCCAGGGACTTATCTTTCGGAAGGAGTCGTGAGGATGAGAGACCCCGGGGTCATCTCCTTCACCCGTGATAATAAGGACTCCTGGGGGAGGAGCTGCAGAGAGGAAGGACAGGAAAGCCAAGACTGGGGGTTCTAACTTTAAATGGTTTGTTCAATCTCTTCAAACTTCAGTTTACGTACATCTGTAGGGTGGGATGAAGTTCTCACATTTAATTCATGGGAGGTAAAATAAAACCATCTGCTATTAAAAGCCCAGCAGAAGGTCCTCTTTCGCCCTCCCAGTGGCTCTCGTAGCCACGCGGTCCGTATCTGCCAGCCACACGGCATCACCAAGTTTGAGCTATGAAGAAATGTGCTGGGACCCAGATCCACTCACCCACCTTATGCCCTCTCCATACACACAGTGAGCTCTGCTCAGTCCTGGCACCTCGATGTTGCAGGGTCCTCCTCCTGGCTCATGCCACGGTTCAAGGGCTGCATCTTCTAGACCAAGCCCTCCCTTATTCTTGTCAAGAAACAGATCCTTACAGCTGACTATGTGCTACGGTGCTACGTCTGGTCCCCAGCACTTTGCAAATATCTACCACATTTCATGCTCATGACGATCCCTCGTCTTACAAATGTGGAAACTGAGGAAAACAAGTGGTTAAGTAGCTTGGTGAGGGTCATCCAGCTCATTGTAGGTCGGTCAATATTTGAACCCAAGCTGCCTAGCCTGTGAATCGGGGCTGGAGAGATGGCTTAGTGGTTAAGAGCATTGCCTGCTCTTCCAAAGGTCCTGAGTTCAATTCCCAGCAACCATCTGTAATGAGATCTGGTGCCCTCTCTGGCCTGCAGGCACACATGTAGGCAGATATTGTATGCATAATAAATGAATAAATAAAAAAAAGAATCTGTGTCCTTGACTGCCAACACTGTCTCTGTGCTTCCCAATGGCACTGTCACCTCTCCTCTGGAAGGGTCCGGGCTGCTGATCACAGCTGTCTCGGCCACGGCAGGGTGCTCCATCAATGCGTTCTCTACCTCTGATGGTCCAATACGGTACCTGCGAAAGTACATCCTTCAGAGGAGGCAGGACACCCAGTCTCGAGGACTGAGAATCAGGCAGAACAAAACCCAAGCTCACTGGTCAAGAAATAAATGCTCACCCGCTGGAATTAATGATATCGTCTGTCCGCGCTATGAAGTAAAAATACCCTTCTGGATCCTTGATTCCCCTGTCTCCCAGGAGCCAAAAGTCTCCCCGAATATTGGCCTCTGTCTTCTTGGGATTGTTCTAGAGAAACAGAAGCAAAAAGCTACTGTGTCTGCAAAGTCTAAGACCCCTGGTCCAGGACTTCTGTGAACAGTTACTTCATTCGGTTTACCACGTGAGCAGCTCTACGTTGCGTGGTGAACCTGTCGCAAATCGACTGACCTTAGATTCTGCAGTCAACTTGAATCTTCTCCATTTATTTCCGTCCTTCCAGTCTCTCACTACTACCCTGAATCTAATCTTATATTTAACACTGATGTATTCATTGGTCCATTTATGTCCTAGGGCGTTTCCCCTGTGTATTCTCTTTTCCCTTCCTCAGACACAATACCACCCAAGGTTATTGAGTCCATTTGGCATTGTCTCCCTGGCTCTCTCATTATAAGTGAAAGGTCTAGAGATTGGCCAGTAGGATTCCAAAGCCTCAGCCAGTGTTCACACTTCTGCCATGGCTGGGCCCCTCCATGTAGCCGAGTCACAAACATATGGGTAATTGGGAGGCTTGAGGGCTACCTGTTGTCTGGACGTTATTATAGCTTACTCTGGTATGGAGCATGGGTTTTAAGTTGATGTCCAGTTACAAGGTTAGAATTCTACACCTACCTCTATCATTGGGAACGCCAAGGGATGTTCAAGGGGTTTGTCTGAAGCCAAACTGCTATTCTAAGTTATAGAAGTGAGACAACAAGCCAAATTTCAGGACCACAGATTTCGGCAGACCATGCAACTTCTACCGGCAGTACCAACATGGCCTTAAATATATCTGTCAATGCCACTGCATCTGTTTCCTGTGTAAAGGATGGGGACACCCGTGTCCTAGCTCCTTTGCTAGCATGTGAGAACACATGAGGAATGTGTACAGGCAGTGTTTGGGGAAGAGCGCAATGTAGCTGTGTCCTGGTTGCATTGCCTCAGTTTCCTCATGGAGATGATAATTTGGACCTGTCATGGTTCTTTATTTATTACATGTGTATGTAGCTCAGTCCTAAGTGCTTTATAAATACCATTGCCTTTACATTCCTAGTGAGATACAATATGATACCCAACTCACCAATAGAAGTGAGATGGGGGATAAATAACTTGCTCCCAGTCATCCAATAAATCCTGGAGTAGCGTTTGAATTTAAGCAAGCTGGATCTCAAACTTTTACATGGTGTCTAAGAGCATTAAATATGTTAAAGGTGTATCAGGAATTTTAAGAGTCCTCCTTTGTAGTATATACTCAATAAACCTTCCTAATGCTGCAACCCTTTAATACAGTTCCTCATGTTGTGGCCACCCCCAACCACAAAATTATTTTCATTGTTACTCCATAACTTTAATTTTGCTACTGTTATAAATCATAATAAAAATAATTGTACTTTATGATGGTCTTAGATGACTTCCATGAGAGTATCATTTGATATCAAAAGGGGTCATGACCCACAGGTTGAGAATTGCTACAATACATAATAGGAAGAGCATTATCCTTGGACGTGCTCACTTATTATTATCTTGGGTACAAGCCTTCGCCACATTTCCGGAATGTGTGTGTTCAAGGTTGTCTCTGACGACTTCCCAAGATTTGTAGACTTGACTTGAGCCTATAATCTCTGGTTTCACCATCCCTACATGGTCAGAGAGCTGGTCCTTCTCAGATATCATCTGAGTGCTTTCCAGAAGTCTGAACCCTAGATGATGTCAGTGCTACTGTGATTCTTGCCATGGAGTTGCCCAGCATGGCTCAAAAGCTCCACAATACCTAAAAGTCTGGGCCCATGCTTTGTGGAGAGAGCAGGGAGCATGCTCAGTGGAAATAAAAATAAGTGCACATTGTAGAAGGTTTTATTGTTGCAAAGGCTTATGGGTAAAGGTGAGTTTTTTAAAAAGTGATTTCTTAGTACTCGGCTGAGGATGGCGAGAGAGAATGGCCAGGCTTCAGCTTCATCCTTCTTAAAGTGCTCATTTTTTTGGGGTTCTAGTTTAACATTATTGTTGGTTTACACACAATTTGTCTTTATGGAAAAGTGCCCATTCTTGAACCCCGAGAACTCTGACTTTCACCAATACCTCTTGAGGGGTCTCTACAACATTTGGCATCCCTCATTCTATGTGGTTCATCTCATCCTTTCGGGGAAACAGAGGGAGAGCATAGTTCCTCACCACGTATCCAGAGAAGATGCCTACTGGCCGGTTGGGCTTCACCCTGATGGCTATATCTCCTTCCTTGCCAGGGGGCAGAACGTTTCCAAGTTCATCTATGACCTGAAGGAAGAGGAAGATTGGATGGATGGCCCATTGAGGAGAAGCGACTCAAACAGCGCTGTGACGGCAGAGTTGTCAAGGGGAGACCATTTTGCTCTCGACAGGAATCAGAAATCAAGAGGAGCCAGGAGGTTTAGGCTCAGATTCCTGGTGCACCTGCCTGGGTGTGTGCCAGACAAGCCTCTCAGCATACTGGACCAGAGGAACCTAGGCAGGTGCCGTTGGCTTGAAGAACTCAGGAGAAAACACCTATTTTCATTGAGAGATTCCTCACTTGTAGATCTAGAGACTGAAAATCAAATACTGTTCTGCCACCTTGCCCACTTTGAATTCAGTTACGAGGCACTATGCTTGGACGCTGGCCTCCGTAAAACAGAAATGCTTATGGTGAATGAAATAGAATACTAAAAAGCATTTCTGTATAGTTACCACAGTCAATTACATGACAGATCATCACACATGATTATGAATTAGACATAAGTTGTTATACTTACGATATAAGTATAACAGAAATCTACATGTAATCATAGACCCATAAACATAAATTCAAGTTCTTAGAATTCAGCCAAAATCAATAAAAAGAGAAAAGGCTTTAGCTACAGTACTGTCACAGTAATGCTAACAAAAATGAGTGCCGTCCACTGATGCACAACAGAGAGTGGTGACGTTCATTGTCTCATCGGACACTGGACTCTGTGCTGCAGTGGGTACCTACTGACCCAGAAGGAAATGTGCGGGGTTATCAAACTAGAAACCTGAGTTACAAAACATTATACCAGGCCACTTCTATTTTTCTTTCAAAATCACGTTTAGTGATGCAACTCCCCAGGCAATTTTCTAAATGAGCACAGTGTCTCTTGTTTTTTTCCTCCCCATCCTTCCCCTTGACCTCTCTCTCCCACTCACGCAAAAAAAAAAAAAAAGAAAACTAAAAACGTTTCATTCATTCATTCGTGTGTGCGTGTGTGCGTGTGTGTGTGTGTGTGTGTGTGTGTGTGTGTGTGTGTGTGTGTGTAGGTTGTGGTTTGTCCTCTCTTCCACCATGTGCGTTTCAGGGAATCAAACTCTTAAACACCAAGCCAGGACACTGACTCTCCTCCTCCTTTTAAAATATTATCTTAATATACCAATATTATTTGTAAGTTTAAGCTTGTGATTTTTGAGAATTTCATACACTAATAATTTATTTACATCAATTCCATCACCCTCCCTAACTCTTTATTTGTCCCTTTTCTCTCCTCTCAAATTCATATCTTCTTCTTTAATTACTGTTACATACATAAGTGTTTAATAACCACACGCACGCACACACACACACACACACACACACACAAACACACCATGCTGAGTCCATTTACTGTTGCTCAGGTATGCTTATGCTAAGGGGTTGACTGTTTGGGATTGAATGGCCTATTAGGAAGCTTGTCCCTGGAACACTGGTTCTCTCGCTCTCGGTAGCCACTAACGGCGTCTCCTTTTTCACGCAGGTGTGAAGTCTTGCGAAATCTCCCCCTTCATATTGGGCAAGGTCACTATGCTGGTTTTGTCTTGGCAACTGTGTGGTTGAGATTTCCTGGGAGCAGCTTCTGCTGCCATCTCTAGAAGATAGCTATCTCACAGCATGAACCCTGGTATTCTGGCTCCTCGTTCTCCCAACCCTCTTCCACGATGTCCCCTCAGCCTTAGGTGTGGGGTCTCACTCAAGATGTAGCAATTGGGGTTGGTTACCCCATGCCAGTTGCTCTCTTCATTTGGACAATTCGTGGACCTCTGTAGTGGTCTCTGTCTACTGCAGAGTGTGCGTGTGTAGGGGGAATAAGTTAGGCTTATCTGCGGGCAGAAGGATAAGTACGTGGAATGTAGTTAGAGATTTATTAGTTGAGGGAAATGGCAGTGGTGGGTCATCCTCTAGGGTCTATGTCCTCCCCAGCCATAGGTTTATAGTGCTAGGCATGGATTTCTTCCTGTAGAGCAGGCTGTATGTCAAATTTTGTTATCTCTAAGACAAAACTGCCATGATTGCACCATTGGGATCTCTTGCTGGGACAGTACTTGTTATTAGACTTATAGTTGAGTAGAACTATGGTCAGGTTGCATGGCACCTTTCAATACTGGGCGAGCGAGGCCTCAGGAAGGAGAATTTAGGTCAGTTCCAGTCAATTTCTCCAAGTCTAGTGCCCAAAGTAGGTGGTGTCTTCATCAATAGGCTCTTATTTCCAGGTCCCAGAAGGCAACCAAGGGCAATAGCAATGGCCTCTTTTGTTTTGGAATCTCTCAGAGCCATACCCCTAGCCAACAACTCCAAGGGAGAATTCCCATGCCTGGCGTTAGGGTTTTGGGTTTTGCTAGTCTTTGGCTCTTTAGGGACCCATTAGCATGCATGTTGTATATCTTCATTTAAACTGTAGTTGTACACACACACACACACACACACACACACACACACATACACACACACACACCCTACATACACATTCATTACATATGCCTTTAAATAAACATAGAATAACATGCTTCCCTTTGGCTTTTTCAAACATCCTTAGTGTTATTTGTGTCTTTTTTCGCCCCTCTCTCTGTATTACCCTTCACTCTCCTCCCCAGCCTCGCTAATAAAAGTCTCTCCATTTTTCTCATTTTCCCTTCCTATCACTTGTTTTCCTACCTCCCCTTCTATCGTTTCTTCTACTCTACTCTCCCCCTGATCGCTTTCTACTTTCTCAGTTCCTATTGTTACTCCATGTTATGTACACAAACCTAAAGACTTGTAGCTGGGTAAGACTCCAGGAAATAGTGGAGAGGGTGCTTGAACTGGCCTTCCCCTGTAATCAGATTGATGACTGCCCTAATTGTCATTATAGACCCTTCTTCCAGAAACTGATGGAAGCAGATGCAGAGATCTACAGCTAAGCCCTGGGCTGAGCTCCCAGAATTCAATCACAAAGAGGAAGGAGCAACAATATGTGCAAAGGGGTCAAGATCGGGATGGGGATACCCACAGAGACAGCTGATCTGAGCTAGTGGGGGCTCACTGACTCTGGACTGACAGCTGAGGAGCCTGCACAGAACCAAACTAGGTCCTCTAAATGTGGGTGACAGTTGTGTGACTTGGGAAGTTTGTGGGGTCACTGGCAGTGGAACCAGGATTTATCCCTAGTGTATGAGCTGGCTTTTTGGAGCCCATTCTCTGCAGGGGGATACCTTGCTCAGTCCAGATACAGGAAGGAGGGTTTTGGTCCTGCCTCAAGGTGATATGACAGACTTTGGTGACTCCCGATGGGAGACCTCACCCTCACTGAATGGGATGTGGGGTGGGAGGAAGGTGGGAAGAGAAGGAGGAGGGGAGGGAGAGGAAACTGGAATTTGTATGTAAAATAAAAAAATCCTGTTTTTAAATAAAAAAAGCAAATTTAAAAAAGATTTGCAGCTGGAATCCTGAAATAAGAAAGAACACACAGCATTTGTCGTTCTGAGTCTGGGTTCTCTCATTCAGCATATTTTCCATCTATTCACCTGCAAGGCTCGTGATTTCATTTTTCTTCACAGCTGACTGTATCTTATAAATAAAATGTATACATACAGTGTATATATAACGTGTGTGTGTGTGTGTGTGTGTGTGTGTGTGTGTGTGTGTGTTAGATTTTCATTTTCCATTTATCAGCAGAAGAACATTTAGGTTGTTTTTATTTCCTGGCTGTGGTGAACAGAGTAGTAATGAACATGACTGAACAGCATCTTTGGAGTAGGGTGTCAGCCCTTCAGGCATATGCCAAGACATGGCCTAGCTGGGACATAAGGCTGATTTACCTTTAGCTTTCTGTGAACTACCCGCATTGATGTAACGACTGGATACAGCATTTTGCAATCCACTAACAACAAACGGGAGCTCCTCTTTCCTCATGTGCTCTACAGCATTTGTTGTTAGTTCTTTTCTTGGTCTTAGCCATTCTAACCAGGGTGAGATGACATCTCAAAGTAGATTTAGGTTTGCATTTCCTTAATTGCTAAGGATGATGAATACTTTTAAACATTTCTTAGCCATTTTTTTTTGTATTTTATTTTGAGAATTCTCTGTTCAAACCCACAACCCATTTTTGAAGTGGGTCATTTTGTTTTCTTGGCCTTTTGTTCCTGGAGTTCTTCGAATATTCTGAGTACTATTTCTCTGTCATGTGTGTAGCTGGCCAAGAGTCTATAAGTCTATATGACCCACTCTGTAAGCACCCTCTCCACTTGGCTGGTTGTTTCCTTTTTTTTAAATACTTATTTATTTATTATGTATACAATATTCTGTCTGTGTGTATGTCTGCAGGCCAGAAGAGGGCACCAGACCCCATTACAGATGGTTGTGAGCCACCATGTGGTTGCTGGGAATTGAACTCAGGACCTTTGGAAGAGCAGCCAGTGCTCTTAACCTCTGAGCCCTCTCTCCAGCCCTTGACTGGTTGTTTCTTTTGCTGTGCAGAAGCCTTTTGGTTTTGTGAGGTCCCATTTGTCAGTTGTTGGCCTTAATTTCTGCAAAAGTGGAACCTTGCTTGGAGAGTCCTTTCTTGCATCTTTATCTCTTGACCACTGCCTATGCTTTCTTCCAGCAGTTTCAGAATTTTAGGGTTTACATCAAGTTCTTTCATCCACTTTATTTTGGGGTCTAGTGCAATCGCCTACCTGCGGGTACCCGGTTTCTCCAGCACCATTTGCTGTCTTTCCTCCACTGTGCATTTTTGACATCTTTGTCGAAGAGAAGATGGCTACAATTACATGTACTTACGTTTGAATTCCTTTTGTTCCATTCACCTACACATCTATTTTTTGCTGACGCTGTGCTCCTCATTACTGTAGCTCTGCAATGTAACCTTGGATTTGGTATGGTCACCCCTCCAGCACTGTTTATTTTGCTTGGGGTAGCTTGTCCTATCTGTTTTTCTTTCTTTTTTTTACTTCCATATGAGTTTTAGGACTTTTTTTATTTTTGTGAAGAGTGTCATGGGGGTTTTAAGCAGGATTTCACTGAACCTGTAAATTTGTTTTTAGTAGAATGGTCATTTTCACAATATTAATTCTACCAAATCCATAAACATAGGAAGTCTTCCCCTCTTCTAGTGCCTTCCTCAATTTCTTTCTTCAGAGAGTTAAAGTTTTTCCTGTGAAAGGCTTTCACCTCCCTGGTTGGGTTGATTCCTAGGTATATCCTTGAGGGTACTGTGAATGAGATTGTACTCATGGTCTCCTTCTCAGACGTTAGATGTTGGTGTGTAGAAAATTACTCATGTTTACAAGTTTATTTCGGATCTTGACACTTGGCTGGAAGTGTAGAACATTTTTAGAAATTTTCTGGTAGAATTTTTGGTATCTTTTATGCATTATCTCATATCATATGCAGATAGAGATAATCCGACTTCTTTTCCTATCTAACTTTGTTCTCTTCCTCATTACTCCAGCTAATGCCTCCAGTACTCTATAGAAAGAGAATGGGGGAGTCAACAGCCCAGTCTCATTTCTGAATCTAATCTGATTTCTTCAAACTTTCTCATTTATAATGGTTTTGGCTGTGAGTTTCTCATATATAACTTATTACATTGAGGATTCTTCCCTCCAGTCCTGTTCTCTACAGAACTTTAACCATGAAGTTGGCTTGGATTTTTTGTTAAAGACGTTTTTAAGCATTATGGAGATAATCATGCAATTTTTGTCTTTCAGTCAATTGATATGATTCGTTACACTTATTGTTTTGGGTATGTCGAAGCACACCTGCATGTCTAAAATAAAGACAACTTGATCATCGTGGATGATCTTTCTTGTATGTGCCTGTGTTTGGTTTATAAGTATTTTATTGAGATTTTTTACATCTATGTTCACCAGGCATATTGGTTCATAGTTTTGTTTTGTTGTAGTGTGTTTACCTGGCTTTGGTGTTCAAGTTATTATGACTTCACAGGGGTTGAAGGTGTTCCTTCTGTTTACATTTTTAGAGTAATTTAAAAAGTCTTCTGCATGTACTGGCTTTTTGGGACCCTATTCTCTATGGAAGTAAACTTTGCTCAACCTAGATGTAGTAGGGAGGGCTTTGGACTTTCCACAGGGCAGGGTGCATTGCCCTCTCTTAGGCTTGGAAGGGGTGTGTGGAGGGAGTGGGATGGGAGTGGGAGGAGGGGAGGGATTGGGAATTTGGATTGGTATTTTTTAAAGTGATAAAATAAAATAATAATAAAAAGCATTGGCTATAGTTTCTGTTTGAAAGGCTGGTGGAATTCTGCTGTGACTCCATCTACATCTGGATTTATTTTTTTAAGTCAGAAGGTGGGGAATCTGGGGAACTCACCCAGCTGGGCTGGCATACCTAATATTAGTTCACTCAATGAAAACGTAATAGATGACTACATGACCGCAAATTCATGTTTTCCCTCCCTCCTTATTGCCCTCAGCAAACCTGCACATCATAATGGGGAATGGCTGTTCCGAGGGAGCCTGGTTTGACCTTCATTGTCCTGGAAACTCTGCAGGTGATTCCCTGTGAGGAGAGACAGAGAGAACAGCGGGGCTCAGGAAAAGCTGAGGGGAAGGAAGTTCTCACTCCTGCCCTAGTCATTCACACTCCTGTCTCCTCCACTCCTATCCTCTGGCTTTCTCCCTTTCCTGGAACCCCAGTCCAAGTGGCTTCACCAAAATATTTGCTCAGAAGACAATCTGGTTACTCCCCAGGGAAGAGAAATGAACAGCTCCTCTCCACAAATCCTGCTCGATGAGAGAAATGGGTACTTATATTTTCCAGCACAGTAGAGTGACTAAAATCAGCAGCAATGGACCCCACATCTCCAAGCTGGAGAAGAAGGATAAATGCTTGGGTAGGTGGGAAAGCCAAATACCCTGAGCAACCATGATATGTGGTGCTCAGATATAGAAATATCACACAGTAGGGGAGGGTAGAGCTTGGTGGTAGGACAATTGCGGGTCCTGTGCAAGGTCCTGGGCTTGGTTCTCAGTTTCACAAGAAGAAGAAAAAGAAGAGGAAGAGGAAGAAGAGGGAAAGAAGGAAGAGGAGAAAGAAGAAGGAGAAGGAAAAAGGAAGGGAGGAGGAAGGAGAGGAAGAAGAGGACACGACAGAACAGGAGAGGAGAGGACAGGAGAGAAGAAGACAGAAGAGAAATCCTAAGGGTCAAGAGAGAGGGAGACACTCGGAAAAAGAGCCAATAAAGCTAGGAGACAGACTCTCAAGGCTGTTCTGGTGAGTAGCACAAAACAGTGCAGATACATGCTATCTATACGCATGCTGCCCATTAACTGCAAGATTGGCCGGGGTGGTAGGGACGCAACTGGCTACTCATCCTTCACTTGTGTTTGACAGCAGAGTATTGTGCCTGACACATCTGAGAGCTGCAGTTTTCTGCGAATGTGGGGCTCCATCACAGACAACTTCCGTGATGGTCTTGTCTGAATGAAGTTGATGATGCTGTGCTGGTGGCAATGTTGGGAGGGATCACCTCTAAGGGCCGAAGAGGACTCAACACCTCTCTGATGAGACTGACTGGTGGCTCTCGTAAGACTCTGTTAGTCACACAAGAATAGGTTTTCTACAAAGCAAGGCTACCCCTTGTTTAGTTTGTTTGGCCCATGTCTGTTTTCCCAACCATTTTCATCATGAGTTGAAGCAGTGTCGGGATAGGATACGGAATGTATGAGCAGATGCCAACGTTCAATCTTAGATTTCCCAGGCTTCAAAACTATGAGCCAAAGTATCTACTTTTTTTTTTTATAAATCTCCTAGCCTCAGTTAATATGTTATAGCAACACAGAAGATTAAGTCTCTAACTCTTGACTCTTTACCTCTTTTCATAGCTCCTTTCATTGCCTACCTTGGCATCAATGTCTTGATTTTCTGCCTTCCTCCCCCACTGGACTGCAATGCTCATGAAATCAGGAACATTGTCATTTTGTTCCCATAGTAGATGTTCAATAAGTATTTCTCAACCAAAAGAGTGATACACTACTTCCCAATAACCTAATTAAGAAACCTATTTTTTTTTTTTCTGGCAAGAGTACGCAGCCCATGGTCCCCTAGGGAGTAGATACCGTTTCTGTCTGGCCGTAGAATTCTCGGATGTCCAGGCCCGTCTTGGCTTTCCAGTTCTCCAGAGTCTCTGAGAGAAGGCTCTCACCTCCAGTGAAGCAACTATGCAGATGTGGGAACTTGTAACTAAAGAAGAGATTTTATTTTCCCTCAGCGTTGTTGAAAATGAAGTCTCCCCAGGCTTGGAACTGAGTTCTGCTATGTGATGACCCTGGGTTTATATAGGTTAAGCGTGTCCAGATAAATGGGCATAGGGATGGGTCTAGATGCTCCTACCAGTCCCCAAACGTCCATCACCTGGAAAGATCCTGTTGTAGCAACATCCGGAAGATGAGGGGGGCACCCACCATGCAGCTGATGGGATAGCTGGACAGCACCTGCAGGGGGAGAACCTTCTGAGACACTGCTCACTAGAGCAGCCGACAGACTCAGCACGGCAAACATCGCTGTGTCCATCACGACTCCTCAAGTTGTAGTGCTACAGACTGAGAGCCTAGATTGTCTGTTGTGTTTGTTTCAGACCTAACAAGCCTCATGATTCTCATTCATGATCACGACACCACGGAGGAATGAACGCAGACAGAAAGAGGTACATGATTCATTTGGAATTCTTTTGTCAAAGCCTGACTGGCTCTTGCCATTCAGTTTAAGACTCATCTTTGCAACCTCACACCTACCTCACTAAAGGACGTGTAAAGTGTCTCTCTGCTCTCCAGGAGAGTAGATCAGATATAGGGTAAAAGGACCAGGGAAAGAACTCCCTGACCCTGACTTGACCCAGAGACCAGGGACAAAGAAAAGTACCATGACTCTAACTTGACCCCAAGTTGGAGACCAGGGTTGTATTGGCTGGTTTTGTGTGTCAACTTGACACAAACTGGGGTCATCAGAGAGGAAGGAGCCTCAGCTGAGGAAATACCTCCATGAGATTCAGCTGTAAGGCATTCTCTCAATCGATGATCAATGAAACTATATAAACTCTGTCTTCTGCTCAGTTCTGTACTGCTTCTCGCCTGAGCAGAGGCAGCCATCCTCTTGGGATTTTCCCTCCCAATAAATCCCTTGTGTGAGGTTTGTTGTGTGGTGTGGCTTTGTGCTACCCCTTGGCTCCCGACTGCCAGGATACCTTTCCCTTTAGAGCTGAAGCACTTGCATTGAGGAAGTTCCCCCACGCTGCAGAACTGTAACACTTACACCTGATGCTGCAGCAAATGAGTTACACGAACTTGACTCAGTGTCTTGACCTTCTGGAACTAGGTTTGTTATAGGATATTTCCATGAAACTAATTGTGAGAGATCATAGTGGCCAAAAGTGGCTAAAACATTCTAAGGCCGTGTCCAAGGGAGGCCTGGAGCCACATGCTGCCTTTGCCCTGTCCTTCTTCCTGAAGTCCCCACAACGACCTCATGCAGCGTGTTCTGTGATCCTGTGTATGGACCTGAGCTCTGCAGGGTTAAGTGGCTCGCAAGCAGCTGGAGGAGTCGGCGTTTGCCGCAGGGATGCAATGCTGTTTCCCTCACCATATTTGTTTTGTGCAGAACTAAACAGTGATCCAAGCAAATGTTTGAAAAAAAGAACATTTGAGTATTACATAATAGCTTCCTGTACATGTAATTGATGACTCTGTCTAGTTCTGTAGTATATTTTTGCAATCAAAATGAAAGCACATTTGTTGCTTGTTACTATGCAACAACATAGAAGATTTACTTGATGGTTACCTCAGACTCTGTAAGGAAAGCAATCTTATTTGCTCTTTAGAATTCCTCCCAGGTAAATCCTCCAAACCGGACATAAACAAAACACCCATCTGTAATATGATGGGAAGGAAATGGTGACATGTTCTTAGAATGGAATACTATAGAACAATTTAAAAGAACAAGCCAGACACATGCAAAAATATGAATTAACCTCACACAGAAATTTGCTGAGTGGAATAAACCAGACACAAAAGATAATCCATCCTACACTCAAATTAACAGAGAGAGAGAGAGAGAGAGAGAGAGAGAGAGAGAGAGAGAGAGAGAAGAGGTGAATTTTAAGCAGGTAGAAGTCAAAAGAGTTATTGACTTTTGAGGTAAGGGTGTGGCCAGGGGAGGTATGGGTACCTCCAGGAGCCATGGAAACATTTGAGGCTTCCGTCTGGTGATGGTTACCTAGGTGTCTAATATGAGTCACACATCCATATGCTGGATGGAGCCCTGGGCTGGATCTCTAGGCCTCACGTGACTGGATTTGGAGATAAAGGTGCCAAATACTGGAAAAGCTGTGCCAATGGCACATTAGTGTTAGAACAAAAGGATGAGATTCTCTCTTTTCCTCCTTCCCATCTCTCCCTCCTCTGAGGCTATAGCAAGAAGGTGATCGCCTATAAGTCAGCATGAGGGCCCCCATTAAGCAGGCAACTCCTCCAGCACCTTGATCATCTTTGAATCCTCCCTCAGAGGCATGGGAAGCATCGGCTATGAGAGCTTCCCAGTCTGTGGCATTTCTGGGTAGTAGCCTAAGCTGACCGAGGCAGTGTCTGACCCAAGTGAATTCTTTTCAAACTGTACACTAGAATAGTGGCATTCCATACTTTTTAACCATCATCTTGTGTTACACTGCAAAGGAAGAAGAAAATAGGATACACTCTTACGTAGACACATGCATGTACACAGATGCCCATGCATACATGTACGTATGCACACATGTGTGTGAGGGAAATGACAGCAGAAGAAGTGCCTCTTAGCTGAGAGAACAACCACCTAGTCCCATCTTTTGAGCACATGCCACTCATTGATGCCTGTGTCCACCTCTGTTCCTAGACCATGAGCTTTGTTAGGTGGGTGCAAACTTGCATCTTGCTTCCTGCTGTCCATTGCTCATTCATGTGGCTGGGATTTTAGCCGAAGTTTTCCTATGAATTGAAATCAACTGCCATGACCTGGAGTGGGTAGACCCCGAGCTTACTCTGACTAACCAATGTGGATGGCTCTCTCTTACCTTTAGAACAGTCTGTGGGTCAAACTTTGGCAAAAAATAGATAAATGTGCATGCTCCCAGTGTCCAGGGTTCCAGAAATGAAGCTATAATGTTCACTATCCAGCCCGTGTCTGAGATGGTCCATACTGTGTCAGAGACATCCATGCCTGTCCAGGAGCTGAGAACACAGAACACAGGCACACAGAGCTGAGTGCACACTGATCGGTGTGGTCCTTGAGGGGCTGTGGGGGGAAGGGTGAGGTGTGGGCATGTCGTGTGTGTGTGTGAAGGGGTGGCAGCACTTTTGAAAACGTGACCCTAGAAGACACAATGTAGCAGATAACTGGGTTTTGCTCTTACTTTATTTCCAATACTAGGACAGTGACTGACAAGTGAAATCACCCAGGAAAAGCTTACTAACAAAAGGCATCAAAGTAAACAATCATGTGTGTGTGTGTGTGTGTGTGTGTGTGTGTGTGTGTGTGTGTGTATGTGCACGTGTGTGTGTATGTGTGTGTGTGCACATGTGTGTGCAGGCATAGGCATGCATGGAGTGTGCAGATGTCTTTATCTCTTCCTTTCCACCTTAGTTTTTAAACAGTGTCCCTCACTGACCCAGGAGCTTACTGATTGGCTAGACTGGCTGACCAATGTGCTTCAGGGAGCCCCTGCTGGCTCTGCTCCTCCAGTGCTGGGGTGACATTTATGCACCACCACACTTGGCTGGGGGATCCTCAGACTTGTGCAAGCACTTTGCCCACAAAACCATCTCCTCAGCCTCCAAGTCAACATGCGAACAGTCACGCCACGTTCGAAGCTTGGCGGAGGAGGCCCTTTTGCCATTTGATTCTCTTTGCTCCAAGCGTCATGGACTGCCCAAGCACAGCTGCAGTTTACAGGAAAAAGCTTATTTCCATTCTCTCTTCAGGGCAGAATAAGAAGCATCAAACTGGGGTCAAAGCAAAGATGTTGTAGGGTAGACAGGAAGAACTTCTTGCAACTGGGAGTGTGTTATGGGATTCCCCTCTGTATGCTGTGACTATGTTTTATTACCATTGGTGAATGAGTAAAGCTGTTTCAGCCAATAGCTTAGCAGAGCAAAGTCAGGTGGGAAATCTGAACAGGGATATATAGAGAGAGTAGGCAGAGTCAAAGAGACGCCGTGTAGTTGCCAAAGGGTCTGAGCAATTGGGAAACTAGTGAGCAGTCTCTGCCTGCAGGAGTACATTGCTATGTGCTTGCATGCTCACACATATACTGAAGGTGATTGATCTCTTTAGGAAAGTAAGCATATTGGGACTGATTTGGGATGGCAGGTGAAAAGTAGTGCCTTAGTTTTAAAAGTAATTTCAAAATTGTACCTTAGTTCCACTCATGTATTAAGTTATTTTGTGTGCAATTGTGTGCATGTGAAGACAATGTGTGTTCAAGGGAAGACAGCACACACACACGTGTGTGTATATATATATGTCTGTTGAGGCCAGAGGTGAACATCAGGTGTTGTCCTCAGGTCCTGTCTACCTTGATTTTTGAAATGAGGTTTTTCACTGCCTGCCTTGGGGTTTTTCAATCCAGCTGAACTTGTCAGCCTGTGAGTCTCAGGAGCTCACCAATTGCCACCTCCAGGATTTAGCATTACAAATTCAGGTCACCAAACTCTACTTTTTAAACTTTTTAAAGGCATAAATGTCCTACCTCCAAGCCAACAGTACCAGCAAACTAAATTAGTCTAAATTAGGAGTGAGGAGTACAGCCCCGTAAAACCCTTGTCACACAAGCTTGGGGGCTTGAGTGTGGTAGGTCACCCAACTCTCTTCTTTAAATGTGGATTCTGGGGACCACATTCAAGCCCCCTTCCTTGTGTGACAAGGCTTTTATGAGGCTTTACTCCACACTTATAATTTAATAAGTTTTTTAACATTAAAATATTTCCAATTTTGATAATAACACGATCATTGCAGTAAAAATCTATGGGAAAAGAGCACAGAGGTCTTCAATTATTAGTTCATGAAGACCTTGGCACTGTACCCTCTGGTTCCACAGGTCATATTTACCCAGTAATGAAATTGGTGCTGGCTTGAAGCCTGTGTTCTAGAAACGCCGGTAACTCTGTTTACTTCATTCCACTGATAACACTTTTCATAGAAATCAATTTGAAAAGTAATTTGTGGTTGACAAAAAAAGATGTCCTCCTGGAATCTGGGTATCATTAAAGCAAATTGCCAGGACCCCAAAGATAAGGCAGAGTGTCTGGGAAGAGGACGCCTGCACCTGCTGCTATTTTCCGCCCTACTAGTGTGGTGTGAAACAAGGAAGAGGGCTTGAGACCTTGTGTTGTCTGAAACAGAGGCACCACTCTGAAGAGTTCCCAACATTGAAGACTTGACCTTTTAGCCTCCCTTCTCAAGTTGTCTTTCTAGAAGCCTCCAGGGCAAGTAGGACCCAACTTCAGTATCATCATTCTGAGTCTATAGAGGAAAAAGGCTCAGCTTACTCAGCGTCCATCTTGGCCTTGATGCCCAGGCTGGAATGGGAGTGCTCTGCCATCTTGGGAGGGCCACTGGTTCCACTAGTGAAGTAGATGGCAGTTGGCTCATGGCTTCCAGTCTCCACACAGTGATGAGTGCTGGATGCATCCCTACAAGGACCAGAAAGTCAGTATCTCGGAGCTGGCCTGGATTCTGTGACTCAGCATCCCTCACTAGCCCTCAGGCTGACAAGGGCAAGTCAGAGGATTTGTGTCTGAAGGGAAGGTCTCTAGTGGTAAAGTTCCTGCATCCCGGAGCGAGTCAGGGTTAGCATTTGTTAACTATGTAAGTATGTACAAGCTACTTTACTTCTGTGAGTCTCACTTTCAACATCTGTGAAATGGGCACAACACAACCTATCTCAGAGAGTGTAGTGGGAAAATTAACTCTACTACACAGAAAGAGAGAGAACATACTTAGCTGGGACTGAATGTTACTTGTGCTGTGCTTGGCCCCAGCATGATGGTAGAAGCACAGACGGTGAGCAGTTAGTTTTCCAAGAGATTAAAAAATTTTATTTTATGTCTACAAGTGTTTTTCCTGCGTGTGTGTGTGCGTGTGTATGCATGACATGTATATGTTTCCTGTGGAGGTCAGACAAGGACATTGTACTCCCTGAAACTAGAGTGATTTACGGTTGTAAACTGCCATGTAGGTGCTAGGGATCAAACCCAGGTCCTTTGGAAGAGCAGTCAATCTCTCCAGCATCCTACAAGGTTTCTTGACACCCACTTTTATTCTCTGTAATAACCCGCAAGTCTCTTAGAATTTTGAATTTGAATCTTTCAAAACTTTATTTTATTTTATTGTTTATTTTCATGGACATTATTTTAAAGATCATGGCAGGAGAAAGAAAAAAAAAACAACTTTATGGTCTCCCTCAGTGTTTCCTAAGGCACATGCTTCTAATGGAAGAATTTTAGACGTGCAGCAAGAATCCCATTTATTCAGTCAGTCTTGCTATGAAATTCTGGAAAGATCATTATTCCAGAAGGACCACTATTTCGGAAGGACTACTATTCTAGAAGAACCACTATTCTAAAAGGACCACTGTTCTAGAAGGATCACTATTCCAGAAGGACCACTATTCCGGAAGGACCACTATTCCAGAAGGACCACTATTCCGGAAGGATCACTGTTCTGGAAGAACCACTATTCTGGAAGGGCACTATCCTGGAAACTATATTTAGAGATATGGAATGCGGGAAGAAGAGACTGGAAGTCAGTGCACCAGGCATCTCTTCGATGCTGCCTTTCATTTCTTCTATGACTGTGGTGAATCGTACTGGATGCCTTTCAGCCCCATGCAGATCAATAGCATGTTGTTGTTTCTAGCATATGCAAGTGATTCACCTTAATGCCAGGATGTATTTGTGTGTGTGTGTGTGTGTGTGTGTGTGTGTGTGTACCTGTGTAATGTGTGCAGTTGTATGTGCCTAGCTAATGTATTTGTGTGCGCATGCATGTTTATATTATATATATGTGCCTGTGTGTGTGGGGAGGTAGTCATGTGAGTATGTGCCAAGTAAACATCTGTATGTGAACTTTCAAAGACCAAAGCAGAGCGTCAGGTGGCTCCCTTTACTGCTTCCTGTGTTATTTCCTTGAATCTCCGTGAACCAGAATCTTAGCTTTTTGACTAGGCGAGGCTGACCTGTGAACTCTTGGGATCTGCTTGTCCTCACCTCCTAATGCAAGAGTTACAGGCATGTGCAGTCATGCTGGCATTTTGCATGAGTGCTGGGGACTTGAACTCAGGTCCTCATACTTGTACTACAAGTGCTCTTACCCTCTTACCCATTGAGCCATGTTCTCAACCCTCAGTCTCCCGGGGTTCTCTTTTTTAAAATGTGTCCATGGCATGGGACTCTGGCCTGCAAGTGTAAGAGCCCAGAAGTGTGTGGTAGACAATGGCCCTTACAACCATCAACAAATGAAGTTGAAAGTATTTGCTAATCCTTTGTTAGAAAATCCTGGGGGCATTCTATCTCCTTCTCAGAAGGTTTCTGCATACCCAGCCCCATCCACCTTGGAGATGATTAAATTCTTGCATTTGCTTTTCTTTCTTCATGGTCTCACTCTCCTTAGCCTTGATTTCCACTTTGGGTGAGAACCTGGCTAAGGCAGGAGATACTCACTTCAGCAGTCCCTTGAAGTTCAGCCATCCTTCTCGCCTTTTTTCAGACACCAGCAACTTAATTTTCAGAAAAGGGCAGTCAGGGGCCACGGTGTCCACTTCCTGGGCCACTTCATCGCCAGCCACAATGGCCCTGGCATTGGATGACTGCAATCTGTAGAGTATGTCTGTGGATTTCATCTGGATGGTTCCAGGCATGAAGACAAGGCCTGGAGAAGACAAACAGTTGAAAGGAATTGTCTTCTTCCACAGAGAAGGGCTTTGAACATCCACAGGGTCCAGCAGGGAAGGACAGGTGGGATGTGAGGACCAATAGGGAGTAAGGGAGTAAGGACAGCATGTTCTATTGCTGGAAAGGTTCTTTGGGGAGAGAAAGCTGCATTTCTCTGCCTTCCATTCCCTTTGCAAGAGAGAGTGCCCAGCCTGTGTGGGCAGTTACTAACCAGTTCGTATGCAGCCCAGGGTTACCAGCCACCACTCTGGGACTTGGGAAAGAACCACTGCCACTCGGTCCCCACGCTGTAGGCCACAGGCCCCCGAGAGGACATTGGCTGCCTGTTGGCTGAGTTCACTCAGTTCTCGGAAGTTCCACTTCAGCTCTTCCCCGCTGCCACTCACCCACCACAGGGCTGGGCGAGGAGGTCTCTTGCCAGCCTGACAAATGAGAAGGCCTGGTGAGAAGACACCGTGGGGACATAGCAAACAGAACAAATTGCAAGTCTAGGGGTAGGCTTGTTGATCCCAGGACATCCACACACTATTGCAAAGTGTTGAAAAACCTTCAAAACTTTGATTTAAGCGAGGGCTAGGTCTAGCAACACTATATTAAAACAGAGACTTTTAGTATGCATGCTTCAAAAATAACAGTTAAAACCCAATCTATATTACTGTGATAGATAATTTTGATTGCTAGCTGGATTGGCTTGAGGAAGCCTAGGAGGTGAGCAAAGTGCCACAGGCATTATACAGTCAGAGCACACAGACATAGACAGACTCACAGGAGTAGGATCTGGTGGAGAACTCAATTTGCAAAGCTTCGAGAGCACGCGTCTTTTGGATAGTCACTGTCAGTTCTGTAGGAATCTGGTGAAATCATGATATTTCTCTCTTCCGTAATGGGATTTATCCCAAAACATCCCAGCAGTGTATAAATCATTCTTTAAGCCGGGCTCTTCCTGTACTGGCAACTGTATACCTTTCTCCATGCCTCAGGGCCCTGGTGTGGAAGCATTCACTCAGTCAAACCTTTGTTCCCATAGTCAAATCCACATAAAGCCAGTCCTCCACTATTAACCTTATTGACAGGACTTAGTGACAGGAAAGGAGCCCTGGGCAGGAGGCACTGAACAGAGAGACAGTGTGTCTAATCTAACTGATAAACAGGTCCGGGTGGCCCTGAATTCTCTAACAGCCAACTCAGGAGAGTGTAACCTACTGTCCTTTGCTCTACCCTAACAAGCTATTAATATTCTGTGCTTACCTTCACCTTTTATGTGACACAAGGTCTTAATCTAGAAAATTAACTGTTTGTACCTTTACCCCTAAGATATACAGGAAAGAACCTTGAGTCACTAAACCAGCCCCAGAGAAAGAAATTTCTTCTCACCTGGGTGCCAGCAGATACAGCACCAGGATGCTTAGCCTGGGGGCGGGGAGACAAGCTCCTTCCTAATGTTCTCACAGCCAGGCCCCTTCTGACATCTAAGGTGCCTACCGTGGCAGTCTTTTATCCATCCTGTTAGTCCTAAGAAATGCATGCTTGATATTACTGCTGTTTACCAGAAAGTTGTTAACTGTCTGTGTGGGTACATAAACTGGAAACCTTGTGGGATACGAAGTGCAATGAAGAACGAGGAGGATCACCAAAAGGGGGAACGTCAAGAGAACATTAGAGAGAACACAGGCAGCGTAAATGGGACACGATGAAAAGATTTATGTGGCCTAATTTATTTCGTTTACTCTCAGACCTTATTAGTTACGTTCTTGGCTGCTATAGCAATCCTGAATCCTGAGAGTTTTCGTGGGGCTTAACCCCAATATAAACCTTGACGTATGCCTGTGCATTTCCAGAGATGATCGGATGGTGTGGGCTCTGATCTAACCAATGGATCAATGGCTTGATGGATTCATAATGTGACATAGTGTAAATCAAGAAGAGGGTCCTGGGTAGAGGAAGTTATTTGGGAGGCATCCTTGCAGGTAGATCTTCCCTCCAACCTCGAATTCTTATCATTGGAGTCAGTATTTCCCCCTTGATTACTATTAGTTTCCAGTTTTCTGGTTTCTTTAACTAGTTCTTTCATGGATTTCAAATTGAAAGATGTAGTAGAAAGACTTTTCCTCAGTAGTCCTAAGAGAAATAACTTAAAAAAATATCAAGAAGCTAGCTGAGGGGACCACTCACTCAGGAAAGTGTTGGCCATGGAAACTCTAGGGCCCGAGTTCCATCTCAGAACACACGTTAACCAAAACCAGTCCTGGTGACACACACTTGCCATTCATGCACTGGGGAAGCAGAGGCAGGCAGATGCCTGAGGCTTGCTGTCCAGTCAGTCTAAGGTACTTGATGAGCTCCCGGTCAGTGAAAGACCTTGCCTCAAAAACCAGAGTGATGGAGCTGAGGAAGGGCAACTGAGCTTAACCTCTAGCTTCCATGTGCACTATCACAGATCAACATGTACACATATGTGCTTTAGTACATGCAAACATACCTACAGGCTTAGAAAAAGATACTCTTTGTGTTGTTAACATCACCCTTGCTACACAGTTCCTTCCTCTGGATTGAAACACTCTCTTGTGGATGGCGAGGCTCAGACCCCCGGGAACTAACAAAACAATGAAGTCCAAGTCCGCAAGATGTGCCAGGCATGTGAATCTTCTACAGGCCAGTCCAGGTTGTTACATGAGTGGCGAACAGCTGCTGGGGCTGCTGTTGCCTGCCAGTTGCTCCAGGAGCATCACTGATACACAGAGAAGAGGAGGGCTTCTCAGAGGCACACATATCCTTGAGTTCCTCATGATCCTGCAACTCCTAACCCACACCCCTTAATTAACTGTTACAGGCTCATTGCTTCACCAGTCTTGACCTGGATCATATCAGCCCTTTGGTCTGCCATTACACTGTTTGTCTGTTTCCAGGAAGAGCCACACAACAGCCTTCTACCTTGTCCCATCTTCAGCATAGAGAATGATGCAATCTCCAGGCTAAGGTCGTGTCACAGGGCCAGGACCTCAGAACAGCACTGTCACAGCTCCCTCTGTGTAGTCCTGTTTGATGCCCCTGCCAGCCTTTCTCCTGCCTTAGCCCGTGGGATCTTGGTCCATCCTCTAGAAGCGTATTTCAGGTGGAGGCAGGTGGTGGGCAGGTAGCAAATGAAACTCAGGGTTGGACAAGGAACTTGGAAGTGTCTGCCTCCCCTCCCTCTCCATCTCTTACGCTGAAGCCCTTTATTCCCTGCTGGGTGGGCATCTCACTTGCACACTTGGGCGTCAGAGACATGTGGCTTAGCTTTCTGAGAAGACTGGCTCAGTCTTGAGTTGCTGCTGATTTCCTCCTGTAATCTGTGCTAATCAGACTGGCTATCACTGTGATAAACACCTTAATATTTCTCTTAGCTCCAGGGTTCAGAGGCTTTGACCATTATTGCTTGGACCCATTACTCTGAGCACGTGGTGAGGCAGGGCATCATGACAGGGTGATGGGGCTACTCACTTTGTGACAGACAGAAGGCAAAGAGAGAAGCAGAGACCACAGGCTAAGCAAAGGCCCTCAAGTTATGTTCCCAGTGACCGAATTCATCTCGTTCCACCATTTAAAGCCATCACTTCCCAAACCATTGCCCCCAGCTGGAGACCAAGTGTTTAAACTGAGCCCATTAGGGCACTACACCGGCAGTCCGTAGCAAGTTCACCCATCCCATCTACGCCCAGCCCACTGCTCTTTATTTCATGCTGGGAAGAAGTCACACTGGAGAGTGTGTTTGGGGTTACTAGGTTCTTCACCATGTCCCATGTGACTTCGGCCTTCTTTTTTTAAAAAAAATATTTGGAATAGCATGTATTAGTTATACACGATCATAAGTTTTATTATAATATTTCATATATGTGCACAATGCATTTCAATCCTATTCCTCCTCCTACCATCCTCTTCTGTCGCCCTCCTACCATTTCCCATGTTTCTTGATAGATTTCTTCCTCCCAGCTGGAGGTGGGTATGGTATGTGGGTACGTGTGTGTGTGTGTGCATGTGTCTGTGTATGTGTGCATGTGTCTCTGTGTATGTGTGTGCCTGTGTGTCCCAGTAGGTTGTATTAGTGTTGCTTCTAGGAGCATGGGAACGCTTTGTTTATAGGATCGTGGACACATTTCTAATGGCTACACTACTGAACAAAATGTCTCTCTGTCCCTCTTTAACCTTTAACTGCATATGAATCCTCTGGGAGGAGGGGGGCCCTCTGAGCTTCTCCCTACTCCATGAAATCTATTACAGCTAATTATTAGCTGCTGTGAGATCAAGCGTAACAGCCATCTCGTGCCCAGAGATGACATTTCACACCCCCACCTTCTATGTTCTTTCTGTCCCTTCTCCCATAGGTTCTTCCTGAACCTCCGAGGAGATGATAGAAATGTCCTCTTAATGGAGCATTCGATAATCCCTGCTTCTCAGCCCCCTGGCCAGCTGTGAGTCTCTGCAGCCACACTGTCAACTGCATGCAATGCTTCTTTGACAGAACCCCAGAACTCTTCTCCCTTTCTTTCTCCCAAGTCACCCTTCACAGCTTCAAAGAAGATGAACATGCAGCTCACAGCTCCTTCTGCTGTCTGAGATGTAATAAGCAACCTGCCAACCCCAAGTGAATGAACTGATAAGTGAATGAAGTCCATCCAGCTGTGCCATTCTCTCTCCCGTTACCTTCTCCATGTTGGCCCAGTGGTCTATCACATCGCTAGCGAAGTTGAACTTGGCTGGTACTTCTTTCTGGTTGCCCCACTGTATGGGTATTAGTTTCTTGCTATTAGTTTGGAATGTACGAATGGACATCTGAGTACCCCAGAGGGTGCAATGTCTTGGAATTTTCCATAGCCAATGCATGGTCGGAGCTGCGAAGAAAAGAGATGCAGGTGAACGCTTCCCTACTAGACTGTGAGACCATCAGCTAGCGAAGAGGGTTGTTTGGTTGTATTTGTGAGTGGACTGAACTGACACTGAGTGCCTGGTTCAGACTTCTCTGTGTACTACTCCCCTATGGCACCGCCCTCCAGCTCCTGCAGCAGTGGATTTCCAATCCCAGGTAACATACTATTTTATCTTAAAGTATGAATGCTGAACCATTTTGTGGCTCCCTGTAGTTGGGTTACGACTTCTCAGTGCAGTGTGGAGGGAGAGTTTATATTCATAAAAGTCACGTAGACTTCGGCTTGGTAGTGAGATACACTCTGGTTAATAGGATGAGTATGGGTTGGTCAGATTTGCATTTACACCCCCACCATGTGTGTGTGTGTGTGCATGTGTGTGTGTGTGTCTGTGCACTGTATACATGTGCATACACAGGTGTGCACACGAGTATGCCCGTGAATGCGTGCAGAGGTCAGAGGAAGATACCGAGTAACCTTCTCTATGTCCCCCATGACAGGGTATCTAATTGCATCTAGAACCTGCCATTTCCCAGGTAGGCTTGCTGGCCAGAATGCCCCAGTGATCCTTTGGCCTCTGATCCCCAAGCACTGGGCTCACACAGACCCAGGTTTTTACAGGCCTGCTCGGCTTCTGAACGTGGATTCTCATGCTACTGCTGTGAGTGCTCTTACCCACTGTGCCATCTCCCTAGTTCCGTTTCTGGGACTTCCCATGAGAACTAGAGCTCTCAGAGGAGCACTAACCTTCTTCCTGGGTCTTAGAGTGATGCCATAAGGAACTCACCTAAGCCCAACCTGGCCATTTCCAACCTTTCATTATTCTTCAGCTAAGTTTGGTAGGCACACCCTAGATCTATGTTTAGAAGGAAACATGTATATATTTGAAAGCGGTGGAATGCTCGGGATGCTTGGTAGTGCACCAACTGTTGACTAATACATTAACTTTGGAGTTAGTTTTGATCGACGTACCTGAAACTGTACACTGCAGAATCTAACATAAACAACAACTTGCAGAATTATAGCTGTTGTTATTATTGCTTTCAGCTTTATTAGCTCCAGGGAAAGATGCTCTAAGGCTTTATGCACTGGTCTTTGAAGTCTGTCCTGTGCTCTTGCATGAGATTGCAGAATTTTAAACCTGATGACCTTTGAGTCAGAGAATCCAGCCAATCTATCCCCTTGGCTGGATTCCCAGCCCCCTTGATCTAGGCAGAGGCCTTGAGAATGCTTGTCTGTGGCACTTCCATGTTCTCTCCTGTATTCTCAAAGATGAGGTGAGAGTTTCCCTTCCAGGCTTGGCCAGCCATACCTAGTGCTTTCCTGGTTGCTGGTGTCTCCCTTTCGATGGCTGACTGCTCCTTATTTTCTGGCCTCACTTCTTCATATAAGCATGTACTCCTTCACCCCAGAAACCTCTTAGTTTCTGTCTGTGCTTCTGCCCAGCTCTCTAGCTCTCCACTTTTGGTTTGCTGAAAGCCCCTTTCCTCTATCCAATGTTGTATTCCTATTAAGACCCTGTGACATTCCCTTTATGGCTCCTAGGAGTCTTAAGTTCTTGTCTTCCATGGGGAGTTTTCACCCTCCCTCACAACTGTTACTTCTCATGACTGGTGAGAGTCATCATGGTGCATGTGCCCCCCACCTCTTGCCTCTTGCAGGAACACTTACTTGCCAAGCTGCTTCTGGAACTCCCTCTGGAGGTAGCTTGGTCTACTTCCCTCTTGGGAAAAAGTTCCAGAGCTCCTGCAGCCCTGGAGGAGAGAATAGCACTGAAGCAGATGGTTTGCAGATCAAATCCTCCGAGGGCTCTGCTAATCATTAATGGTGCATAACTGGGCGATGCTACTCCTCCCAGTAAAGTTTGTGTGCAGTGCAGTTTTTGAGTCTGTGCAGGGTGACTCTTTAACCCAAGGGGTCAAAATGAGGTCTATTCTCATGTTTGACAGCAAGCCTTTTCTCTTACCAGGAAGAGAAGGGAATTTCAGAGGCTCTACACACTGTCTTGCTGCCTTTAATCTTCTCGTTTGTTTGGTTTCCACCAAGGGTCTCTTTCCCTGTTCTGGCTGTGACACTGCCCATTCATTGTGACAGCTTGGATCCAGGCCTCTTGTTAATAACTTACAAGTGTGTCTCTAGACTGGATCTCTCTCCTGAGTGTTCATCTATTTGATGGCTCTACTTGGCTATCTAACAGGTTTTTAAGAGTAGATGCAGATAGTTCCAGGCATTCTAGTCCTGAACCATCCACTGTATCAGTGGCCTTTACAAAAGGATGGTCACCCTGTTGCTCCCACTCTCCCTGCATGAAATCTCAGGCTTCCAACCCCTTACGCCTAGACCTGGGGAATCTAACAGTTCTGCCTTCCAGCTGTGACTGCAATCTGCCTCACTCTCTTCAGTGTTCCAAACCACCATTTTCTATCTGTTTTAGGGTTACCAGCACTGTGCTGAAACACCGTGACCAAACGCAAGTTGGGGGAAGAAAGGGTTTATTTGACTTACACTTCCACATTGTCGTCCATCATTGAAGAAAGCAGCACAGGAACTCAAACAAGGCAGGAACCAGGAAGTAGGCACTGATGCAGAGGTCATGGAGGAGTGCTGGTTAGTGTCTTGCTCAATCTGCTTTCTTGCAGACCCCAGAACCACAAGCCCACAGATAGTACCACTCACAGTGGGCTGGACCCTCCTCCATCAATCACTAATTAAGAAATTGCCCGGCAGCTGGATTTTATGGAGGGATTTTCTCAACTGAGGGTCCTTCCTTTCAGTTTACTCTAGTTTGTGTCAAGTTGACGTAAAACTAGTCAGCATACTGTCCAGAGGAGCATTTTTGTGCTCTCTTTCCCTTTCTTCTTGCTTCTGCCCTTGACCCTTGAAATCTGTTCCCAGAATGAGCCTGACTTAACTCAGTCAGACCGTGGAGCCTTCTGAGTAAAATATCAGGTCCTTGCTTGCCGTTATCTACAAGGTCGACCACAAAGACTTCCCAGGGCTCTTCCTCCCACTTCCCCAGTCCAGTCAATGGGCCTCTTTGCCATCCTGTCTCCATGCCAGACACACTCCGGCCTCAGGACCTTTGCGAATATTATTCTCTCTGCCTAAAATCCTCCTCCCTAACATTCAGATGACCTCCTGGCATCACATCCTTTCTGAAAGTCGTCTGTGCTGGCTAGATTTTTGTCAACTTGACAAAGCAAGATTCATCTGGGAAGAGGGGATCTCAACTGAAAAAAAAAAAACCACATCCATCAGAATGGTCTGTAGGCAAGTCTGTACAGCATTGAGTTGTGCATAATTATATAAACATTCTTGATTAATGGTTGATTTGGGAGGACCCAACACACTGATGTGGTGCAACCACAGGGTTGTATACATTAGTTATAACATATTACATATATAAACATAAACTATGTATGAATATATAAATAAACACCATATAACTACACACACACACACACACACACACACACACACACACACACACACACAATTTCACAGTTTCCTGACCAGGACATGGGACTGAGCCAGTCATTCATAGCAGCTTTCTTCTATGGCCTCTGCTTCAATTATTGCCTCCAGGTTCTTTCTGTGAGTTCCTGACTTCCCTGCATGATGGACTGTAAGTTGTAAGAGGAAATGAACCAAAGTATTTTCTTAAATATTTATTTTTGTTTGTTTGTTGTTGTTGTTGCTTATGTGTATGTGATGTGTCTGTGTAGGTTTCCATGAAGCCCAGAAGGGAATGGCAGATCCCTGGAGCTGGAGTTATAGGTGACTGTGAGACTGATATGGATGCTGGGAACTGAACTCAGGTCCTCTGAAAAAGAGCGGTACATGCTCTTAAACACTGAGCCATCTCTCCAGCCCCTTAGGGCATCATCTTTGTGTGTCCTTTCTGCTCACCTAATCTAACATCACAGATTCCATCTTCTCTGCCATATTTCTTCTCTCTGGCCATATAGATCTCATTATACATTGTTTCTTATTGTTTGTTTTTCTTTTTAGCTTTTACACACATGCTCTTGAGGGAACAGATTTTTATGTTCCGTAATTCTTGTTTCCCAAAGCTCCAAAGCAGTTGCCGGTCCCTATCCATGGACACAGTAGTATGTCAAATTAATTGTCCTTCATCCTCAAAGTAACCCTGTGAAACAGGGGATTACTTCTCTAAAGTCTCATGTGTATATGTATGTACAGACACACCTTAACATCCTTATGCCCTTTTTGACAGTGCATACATACATAAACCATGTTGTGCCCTCTCTGTGCCCCGACACCCGCTGACTGCGTTCTTATTCCCTACATGTTTACTCCTTTTGTATCTTGGGGGTTAGGGGGGGCTTGATTTTGATCTTCTCTGTTTAATGAGGGTTTCTTGTATCAGCATGGATAGGACATTATATACTGGAGCAGGGGCACTCACCAATGTCTACACTGCTGAAGAAAATGACACCTCGTTAGGATTGGGGCTAGGCAGTCCTTAGAGGTCACATTGTCTGCAAGGCAGAGGCAAATAAGATCTCAGTAGGGGGTGAGAACTATCAAATAGGGGAGGGAGGGGCTGGAGAACTCAGAGAGATGGCCACATAGTTTTAGCTCTGTCTTTCATATGCCTTGGGGGATGAAGGTTAATGTCTTCAAAACTCACCTTCTTATTTATCCACAGGAAATAAAAGGAACCCCTGCTTATCACCCCCTTTCCTCTCCAGGGCCTTGTGGCAATTTTCAGTTGTCTGAAGTTTGTTCTTGTGACATCCTGTTTCCAGGGACCATGAGAATTTCAGAGTGACCAAAAGCCCCTGGGCATGCTTTCTAGCCTTTGATGCGCACTGACCATTCAAGCCTCAGCTTCCCCATCTCTTCATAGGTCAACAGTGACATCTCCAAGTCTGTGTGAAGATGCGTTGGACTGATTCTTACCGAGCATGGCAAAGAAAATAGCTGGCGTGTCTTTCACTGCTGTTTGACTCCTTCATAAGATCAGAAACACAAAAGTGGGGCTGGGGAGATGGCTCAGCATGTAGAAGTGCTTGCCATTCGTGCCTAAAGTGTGGTGGCATGCATGTGCAATCCAGTATTCCTAAGACAATATGAGGCAGAGACAAGGGAACTAATCTGGAAGCCTGCAGGACCAGCCAGTCTGGAGTATGCTTCACAGCAGCAGAAACAAGAGAGGCCCTGCACTACAAGGTGTTAAGAACTGATGCCCGCAAGCGTCCTCTGACCTCCAAACCCATCCTGCGGCATGTGGGTACAATTCAGCCCTGAAGGGTGTCTATCTTCCTTCTTCTAGACTTCCATAATAGATATTCCCAATTGCCTTGGAACCATGAGCCATGAGCTCTTCTGTACGCTTCTGGAAAGTCCTTTATATTGACGTTAAGCCCATTTTGCTGTTACTTCCCGGGGACCGCTCAGCGTCAGCCCACAGAATGTAGAGTCAGCTAGACTGTTCTCTGACTGTTTCATCCAGTGCTTTTAACCCATATCTAGGCTGGAAATCTAATCCCCAGCTGCTCTTCTATGTTGGGACTTTAATAAATACTAGGTTTTCCTTAGACAGAAGAAGGATGCCTTGTGAAGGAATATGGGAAGATTTACTTCCTGGTCAGTACTTTGAGGTCCCCTGAGGTTTGCTGTGTTCATTGGGAGTCTACAGTGACAGGCCACTCTTCCTGTTGCCTTTTCTCCTTTATAGGTGCATTTGCCCCATCTTAGGTGCTTGCCAGAGACATCAAAGCTGTTCACCTCCGCTGATCTGAGCCTTTTCCTGGGTGGGAGGGAGGTGTAGAATCACCCTCCTTCCCTGCTCCCTCATTGCTTTCAAAGCCTTATGTGCTCCACTCCTCAGTCTGGATTCCTGTCTTTTTGTTTCTTTAAATAATATATTTATTCTTTCAAGTGTGTGTGTGTGTGTGTGTGTGAATCATACAGGATGCACTTTGACATTATTCCCAATTATCCTCTTCCCATAAAACCTTCTCCCTAATACACTCCCTCCTACTTTTATGTCTGCTTTTACGTCTTCTCAAGTTTAATTAGGGCTGGTTATACAAGCATGGCTGAGGAGTTATTTACTTGGGCAAAAATCACTTAACAATGGCTATACCACTGAGAATTATGACTCTGCCTACCTCAGCAACCCATAACTGCCTACAGCTCTCTACAGGGTTGAGAGCCCTTGTGAAAGTCTCCCCTGACCACAAGGCGGTGAAGATAGCCACCTCTGTTGTGAGTTCAGAGTGTGTCTGGAGACGGTGTTTTAGAACAAGCCTGCTCCATCCTCTACTTTACATTTTCTTCTGCCCTCTTTGCAATGTTCCCCGAGTCAGGGAGGTGGTAAATATATGGATGTAAAAGTAAACATTTACAAGACAGCTCGACACTATGTCCAATAAGCAGAACAACTGTAGTAGGTTGGTTTCCCACTAGGGACTGCGACCTCTCGAGTTGTGGGATTTTGACCAGGTTTACATTACCAGGCAAGAATTCCCTCCTGTGGAAAGAGCCTCAGATCCAACCAAACTGTGGTCAGTTAACCTTATAACAGCCATGCACTATTTTACCAATAGACATGTTTTTCCTGGAAGATTAGTTTTGTTTGAAGATGACTTTTCTTCCCTGGAGGCTGACTCACACCTCCCAGCACTATAAAAACTAGCGGGCAAGGAGGAAGTTTCCAGTTCGGTTCTTAACTTGAGTTCTCTGTGATCTGCAGCCACACACAACACATGATGTCTTCTGCAGTAGGGCCATATTATCTCTTCTGGTGGGTGACTAAGAAAAATGGCAACAGTC